GGCCAGAAAGTTCAATCTCTTTTTTTCCTTATCAAATTTTCCTGCAGTCATTAATTTCAGTTTGGTAATTCCTTTACTGACGCCGACTTTTAGGTTGAGGATGCTGTCATGCTTGCAATGGCTAATCATCGTCGCCCAAATCTTCTTCGACAATCTATTTCAGGTTTGTGAGAAATCTCATATACTACCCATTAGCATGTGAATATTATAAAACCATTTCCTTTGCACTTTATAAGTAGTGAATTTACCATGTTGCTCTTTTTTTACCAGCAATTGTTAATTTAACCTGTTGTGCGTGCACAACTTTTGAGCCAAACTTACTTTTATTTTTCGTTCAGAAAACTCTTTATCCATCATTTCTAGGCTATAAGGGAACGTGGTATTTATTTTTGGTTCATCTGAGACGTTATCATTAAAAAACTATAGAAATTAACTAGTGTTTTTAAATGCCTGCTATCTATGTGCGAGCCCGTACATTTTCTCCTATTACCAATTATATGAATGCTTCTATCCTATTTGCCATATAGAAATGGTCTATCTTTAATTCTGTTTGCTAACACCATTATTGAACATAGGGAAGAAGCGTCCACATAATTTCACTTCACACTTTTTCCATAGTAGTCCAATTGCAAAATTCATTTTTATTGTCTACTTAACTGTGATATGTCCACAAGATATACACTTTTTGTCAACCATGCTTTATAGCTTAGTCACTCAAGGTCTGGAATCTGTCTTTTTTTATGCAATCAATTCTTACACTCATGTATCAGATTTGCAATCACTACCTGTTTTAGTATGATTACCACTGTATGGACCATTTTATTAGAATGCAACGCGACGTATTCGTATGCAGTGGATGTTAACACATTTCATCTGCTTGTCTGCTTACTTCTTGGAAAGTGTCTAACCCATTATTCTCTGTGCATTTCTTTTGTTTTTCCCCAGATAATAAATCTCCTGGTGATCCAAAGTTCATGGAAGCGTTTGGTAATAACTCAGTGTTCCTTCTGCAGTAAACATTTTGTATCTGTTTCAATGATTTCGTATACCCTTAAAAGCAGATAATTCTGAGCCTTGCGCTGCTATTTTTTCCCTAGAGGTGCATAATTTGTATTTAACTAAGAGTAGATGAAGTTCTATTTTGGAAGATATATAAAAGCATAAATGAATAATAATCGTAGTTCCTAGTGAAATTTAACTAAATATAGTTATATTCAAAATTGAAGAAATCTATGAAAGCTACTCTTATTTTATTATTATCTAATTCAAAATACTCTATTATCCCACCTCTTATTTCAGGATGACATACCTTTACCAGTACAACTTCCCCTATAAAAAGTAAATTTGAAATAGTAAACAATTGCTTTAAATAAAAATATTAAATAGATAGTGACCAAATAAAAATTTAAGTTAGGCTGAGTTACATGTCCAAAACTTGTCAAATTATAATCTAGTTTAATGAGGACTCTTAACAGCTGGAAGCAATGAACTGAAATCATGAACAAATAAGCATTATAAAAGATTTGTTACTATTCTAAGTATTCTTCATGTGTCTATAAATCTGTAATCTATCGGAATCTTACAAATTTAATACAATATGTTTTGCTTTAGCTTTGAAAGCTAAGCAACCTTATATTAGGTTCAGTCTAAGTCTAATCCTAGTAAAATCTGTTCGTATTTATGGTTGTAAGTATAGTGTCGTCTGCTATCACTTTCTTTTTTCTAGAAAGAGTGAGTTCTCTATTGTTTAAATGGACAATGCACGTTTTACATTGGTAGCTATGAACTTCTTGTTAACGTTTTTGACTCTCTGTTTTCATTATTGTTCTTTTAATTTATGTGAATGCAAAAAAGGAAGTTTGGATTTTTAATATGCATAGCATGCACATTCCACTTTATACACTTAGAGCAAATATGGAGTTCTCCCCTATCCCCTTTTTTCTCCTTAACAAGGACAGATTGGGCATTAAGAAAGCTGTTAATATATGTCAATTGAAATCTATTGGTTCTCACAATACATTGATATGCTCTGATAGTTTTGTGCAAACCTGAAGGTTCCTAACCAAATCAATTCATATCTAATCATCAATCAGTTACAATTTTTCTATTAATAACCTCATTGATACACATCTCTAATATAGATTCCAAAAATTAGTAATAAGGATGGTGAAGTTAACATCGATGTATGTACAGATGCCACGGGTTGATGTGTGTTTTCTTTGTTCTGCTAGATTTAACTTGTCTCTTGTTCTTTTTTCTATTTTCAGATGTAAATTCTTTGATATTTCAGTTTAGAATTCATGATGCAGTGCATTAAATTTCTAAATTCTTTATTTATTTATTTATGTAGAATTAAATAAAGAGGAAGCAGAAGATGTATTTTTTAAGCAGGTGTGTTATCTTCTTTTATATGTTCTTTTATATTTTATATGCACAGTACCTTCATTTTTTGGATCTAGGTGCTTAATTTATTTCAACGTCTTCATTTTTTACCCCTTTTTTTCCATACCCCTCAAATATTCCTATTTGCAAAATGACCCTCCACATTTTTTTATTTTCAAAATTACCCTCCAATTCATC